AGGTGTCCGGAGCCACTCACAGTTTTAACTCTTTTTAGGTGAGTTCATATGTAGGAGACCTCATGACAACAATGGAAATAGGTGGATAAGATAGGTACATGTGACATAAAGTAAAAATCACATTTCCCACGAGTGTTTTTTTTTTTTTTCCCTCCAACATAACCAGTTCCAGACTACTGGTTCCATCTTCACGCTTTCTCTTGAAGCGTTTCCGTTTCTTAGGTATAATTTCCCCTTTATTTACATGTTATTAGAGTCATTTGCACCTAGTTATGATTATAATAATAAAATTAGAGTCATAGCAAACCTTAAGTCATGGGAATAATATTTGGTTGCATGCTTGCACTAGGTCGTGGCATGTGTGTTTCTGTCACTGGTTTATATTAAGGTGTTTTACTAGTATTTGAAGCAAGACAATTGTATTATATTATCACTTATTATTGGCATCTTAATTTTGCAACTAACTTCTAACCAGTGCCAGACTTAGCTTAATACTACTGGTGATTTTGGTAACATTGGATAAATGTAACGGTGAGTCCAGCCTTTTCAGGTTTAGCACTTCCTTTTGATTATTTATTTATTTATTTAAGTCAGTCTTGACCTACCTTAGTTATACTGTGAGGAAAAAAAGACATGTACAATTCAGGGTATTGTGTTTATTAAAGGAAACAATTCATCATGAGTAGCTTCTTCAGTCCTGCAGAAGTCACTTACATGTTTCCTTTAATAAATGTCCTGAACTGTACATAAGTGTCTTTTTCTACATCATGTCATTATCACCATACCATTTATCTCTTAGTCATTCTGTATATTCATAGTAACATGGAATTGATCTGCTATGCTATAAAACTAATCATGTAGAGAAGAGAATTATACTAAAGTGATGTAAATTTTTTACTTAATATTGCATGTCAGTGCTCACTGAATGTTTAAAATTAAACTTGTGAAACTTGTTTAGTATTAAAGGGCCTAATCAGACTAGCATATATGTAACATTAAATGTACACATGTAATATAAAGTATGTTTGTTATTATATACATGTATATGTAATGTTACACATGGGTAATATTATAAATGTTTATAATAATATGTTGTATATTTTAGTTCTAAAAATTATTTGATTCTTGTTATTTAAAATAGCCAGAATATTTCTTGGTACTTAATTTTTTTTAATGCAATATCCACTCCCATGATATCCCATAGCATTGAAGAAAGCTAGTCATCTACCACATCCAAAAAGTTTGTTTAGAGTAATCATGTGATATCAAGGTCACAACTAATCAGACCACTTCACAGTAAGCTAACAACAACATATTAGTTTTTCAATTTATTGTTTTGAAGTATCATGCAGTACTATTATCCCAGCCATTTATAACTTAATAGTTCCTGATAATATTGTTTATTTTGTACTGTGCTCTTGTTAAGTTGTTGACAAGTGGAACTTTATTTTCTTGGATTAAGAGCTCTTCTTCAGCAACAAGACAACTGCCAGAAATGGATCAGAGGAGTTATATTTCCACATTAAATAATAATCTTGTTAAAGCACAAAAACAACTGCATTAACATATTCCTATACCTTGAATCCTATGTAGCTCATTTATTTTTTCTCCACTTTAGGTACATTAGTAAATATGTGTCAGAGAAAGAAGAAGCAGCCCCTTGCTACTCTTCCATACCATCGGGCTCCGGCCTTCTTGCGATTTAATCCTTTTATTAAAAAGGGTTACCGTTCAAACTTGTCAACAGCTCAGTGTTTTAACAGGTAACTAGTTATTTATCAATAAATGATTTATTTATTACATCTCTAATGATAAATTTAATATAAGCTATTCTTATTTGAATATTTATGCAGTACATATAATGTTTTCTTATCTGTCTTCAGGAATTTTATACTTTTTAAATGTTACCCAGTTTGTTTTGTTAAAGATGACACTTTTCTTCATTCTGATATAACCTTCTCTCTTGCAGCTAATCTTATGCATCTTTATCTTATCTCAAACCTCCTTTACTTGCTGGCCTGTTGTGTATTACTATACAGTACAGGACCTAATTGGAAATAAGTCACTTTGTCTGACTTTCTTAGGTTATCCTAGGTAATCTATACTTTATGGTGTTTTGCTGATGCAGTGGTTTTCAATTACATATACCCATTCTTCATTTATTCAGACTTCCTATAATAAATATATTCCTCACTCACTATAAAGGATGAAAATACGTATTTTAGGTAATGCGTGTACTGTATATGCATTTTTTAGGCCTAGCTATATTGCTCACTTAATATATGATAGTGTATACATTTTATCAGGCTTTTATATGCATTTGAAAGTGAAAAAAGGCTATGATTCACTTTACAGCAATTTTTTCTTCACAGCAGTAGCCCAGAACCTAACGTGATGTACAAGTGGAGCCCGCCTGTATATCTAAACGTTTATAATAATGCGGTACTGTACTACTAGTTTTGTGTACTGTAAATATTGAATATCAGAAGGGTATACAGTACCGACAGGTTGGTAAGACACACAGGCAACAGTTAGGCATCTTTATTCCAAAATATTTCGCCTACACAGTAGGCTTCTTCAGTCAGGTACAGAAAGTAGGCAGGAGCAGTAGATGTAAAGATGATGTAATCAGTCCATCACCCTTGAAGACATTTGAGGTTGTCAGTCCCTCAGCCTGGAGAAGAGTTCTGTTCCATAGTCTGAAACAATGTGAAGATCAAGTGACAGTGTGGAGACATATACTGTTGGAAGGAGAGGTGTAGAGTAGTAGAAGAAAGAATATAATCACTGAGAGGTCATGTCCCTCTCGGATCCAACCATTCTCACTTGAAAAAGTTGTCCAAGGTGTTTTCTCTTCTGTACCAAGATGCCATTGTGTTGCATTGTCTGACACTGTGGCTTGATCTTCACATTGTTTCAGACTATGGAACAGAACTCTTCTCCAGGCTGAGGGACTTGACAACCTCAAATCTACATCTTCCAGGGTGATGGACTGATTACATCGTCTTTCACATCTCTACTGCTCCTGCCTACTTTCTGTACTTGACTGAAGAAGCCTACTGTGTAGGCAAAATATTTTGGAATAAAGATGCCTAACTGTTGCCTATGTGTCTTATTGTAAATATTACTGCACGTGTTAGTACATTATAATTCAGTGCTATTAAGACTAAGTTGCAATACCTCACAATTTGGAGAGAAAAATTTAGGCTAAACATTTTGGTCCCATTCATTATCAAGTCACAACTGGCTTGATAATGGTCCAGGATGAACCAAAATGCTATTTCGAGTTTGTGCATTCATTGTAAATAGTACTATTCTTTCAAATACTGTATATTATACAGCAGGATAATTTTGAAATACAGTATTGTACTGTGGTACATTATATTTGTTTATATAGTTGTTTGACTTTCATAATTTGTTAAGTGTGTTCATATTTCAGTGTGCTGTACAGTTTGTATCTGTGTATTTGCTATTGGGATTTTTTTTTTATTTTATCATTATGAAGGCAGTCATAGCAAAATCATTAGGCTAATTAAATTACATACATGATCATTAGAAGCAAACATTTTGTACTTTTATTATATTGTACTGTAATTCCAAATAGCCACATTGAGATAAGACAACCTGTACAGATTCTTTTGTAATGGTATGCTCTTAACACCCTACCACACATCACTGGCCAAAGTTATATAGTAATTCTGAGAATAATTTAAGTATTTCTTTGAATGAAATACAGTCATATATCTCAATAATTATTGATAAGACTGCCATCAATAAGTTAGGTAAATAGACAAGGTAAAACTAAGACAGGCTAACGCAACGGTCTGGAGTTTTGAGACACTCTGACTGCGGGTTCAAACCCTGCCTGTGTGGTGTTTTTTTTTTTTTTAAACTAGACTGACATTTATTGTGGCTACATTTTGCTCACCAGGAGCTTTATCAAGCCACTACAGGTATTAAAAAAGTGACTGCTTTCTGATATGTATTTATGCATTGTATTGTTTGTTTTGGCTTGACAAACCTCCAAATAAGTGAAACTTAGATGCAGTAAATGTCTTATTAGTTGTGTGTGTGTCCATTTACCGAAGTTATGTATTTGTCCATTGACCCCAGTTATGTATTTGTTTATTGAATAAATAAGTTTCTTATATGTTTTACAATGCAAGGTTTGTTATTTACTGCACAGTTTTATGGATTGACCTTTGAAATTTCAGTATCGCATCCTTCATGGGGTGGCTGCCAGTGTACTCAAGTCAAAATTGTAATTACCAGGCATGTGAAGGGGAAAATAATTCTGTTTTCATATTTATACAGGTCCACATCCCTGTATCCAAAACCCTTGGGCCCAATAGTGTTTTGAATTTCAGAATTTTTAGAATTTCAGAATGAAGGTGGGGTCTAGGGCAGCACCCCATAATCAAACATTAACACTGCAGCAAAAACATATGAATACTCACACTAAGTGGGATAAATGAAGACTGCAAATGCTAATACAGTTTATTTTTAGAGTAATATACAGTGGACCCTCGACTTTCGATATTAATCCATTCCAGAGAGCTCATCATTATACGAAATTATCATAAGTTGAATTAATTTTCCCCTAAGAAATAATGGAAATCCAATTAATCCATTCCAGACACCCAAAAGTATGAAAAAAAAAATTTTTACCACATGAAATATACATTTTCCTACACACAAAAAGAAGGATACACGCACAATATACTGAACTAAATGAAGAATAAATGCTACTTACCTTTATTGAAGATGTGATGAGTTATGAAATACTCTTTTTCTTGAGCACACTGGGATTTTCAGAGTGATACATGAGTAAAGGCTTCACTTTGCAATCCCCACAAGCATTACAAGAAAACATGAGAGTTAGCCTGTCTTTCATAAGCTGGGAGTGCCTTTTCCTCCTGAGTAATGTAGGTCCTGCTTGGCATTTTCTTCCAGAACAGGCCTGTTTCGTGACAAACACTTGTTGGGGTTGGAATTTTTCAGCTTCTCCATGCCTTATCACACTGTATATGCCGCTACGATTCTTAAATCTCTCAAACCAACCTTTGCTGGCCTTAAATTCACCAATATGAGCACTAGTTCCAGGCATTTTTTCCTGTTCACCTGTGTGTTAGTTGACTAGTGTGGGTCACATCCTGGGGAACAAGTTTAAGGACCCCAATGGAAATAAATTAGTCCTCGATGACGCACTGACTTTCTTGGGTTATCCTGGGTGGCTAACCCTCTGGAGTTAATTGTTTCTCAGTAATTGTTTCTTGTTAAGCCATACCAACAACAGTCTCCACATCTTCGAGTAGTACAGCTGATGGTGGTACAGCAGCAGCAGCAGCTGACCATGGTACAGCAGCAGCAGCTGACCATGGTACAGCAGCAGCTGACGGTGGTGCAGCAACAGCTGACGGTGGTGCAGCAGCAGCTGACCGTAGTACGATAGTATTTCAATAGTATTTCTCACCCTTTTTACCACAGGGTTGGCACTAGAAGCTTTCTTTGGGCCCATGGTGGCTTATTTAGCAGTTACAAGCACTAAAAACAATGAAGTAATACCAAATTTATTGAATGTATGCATGCAACCATCCGCCCTGTCTTGTAAACAATGGCACTAGATGAGCTGAGGCGCTCTGGCCAGACGGACCGTGTTTGGGATGAATGATGTAAGTCTAGTTTTTCTTTGTAGGTCGGGGAAAATTTTTTATGCTGTAACGCTTCGTAAGTCGATTTTATCGTAAGATGAGGCCTTCGTAAGTCGGGGGTTCACTGTATTGATAAATGAAATAATGGGATAATTATAGACTAGGAACATGATTCTCAAGACAATTGATAGACAGCATTTTTAAAGACTGCTTCAAGTGTCATCTGTCTTATTAACATAGGTTTCTGTCTAAGTAGTCTCTCAGGTTACCCGTGCTTTCTTGTTGGCATAATAATGCAGAGGTAAATTGTGCACACCTTTCAGACAACTCGGATGTTTGCTTTTTCCAGTCACTGCCAACTTCACCTTTTGTGTGTCTGCAGCATTGGCACACCCAAGAATAGTTTACCTGTCCTTAGCATTATTAAAACCTGTTGATCCTCTCTCATCAGCCATTGTTAATGTTTTTCTAGGAACATAGCTCCAGTAGAGAGCTGTTTCATCAGCATTGTAAATTTGCTCAGGACTAAGGGTTTCGTCAGATATTATCTTGGCAAATTCGTCAATGTAATTTTCAGCTGCTTTATGGTCAGCAGAAGCTTTTCACCAAAGATTTTCAGACATTTTACACCATTATGCTTCTTAAATTTCTGCAGCCAACCATCTGAATATTGACATTTGCCATCAATGTTTAGTTCTTCATGGTATATTCTAGCTTGTTTCATGACCAACAAACCAGTCAGTGGCATACGTTCACTTTGTTGTCGAATCCACTCCATTAGCACACAGGCAAGATCTTCGTTTTTTGCCCTATGCAGTGTTTTCCTATTTTTCATTAGTTTTTGGTCATCATTGTCACTGTAATACTTCAGTAACTTGTATTTCTGTTCCTTGAAATCATAAACAGTGGTAGTTCCAACACCATATTTTTCAGTAAGACGCCGCACTGACACACCATGATCAAGTTTCTGCAGTAACTCTACTTTCTGCATTATTAATAATGTCAGATGCTTCCTTTTCTTTTTCTCACTGTTACCCATAGGGGTATCTGCAGCTCTTTTTGACATTTTGACAGTGAAATTAAACAGTCACAAAATAAAAAGCAAAAACAAAATATCAGCGAACAGCAGACGCATGTGTGAACACTGCAAGCTCTGAAACATAACTGAAGCCTGCCACTCTGGCTGTCAGTGCTGGGTCATGCCGCCACGTGGCGGCGTTGGAGTTATGTAGAGGTGACTGACGCTACACACTCCACGAAAAAACTTTGGTTTTCGGAACTTTTCGAATTTCAGAATTTCGGATAAAGGGATGTGGGCCTGTAAATATTAACACTGTACAGTTGTATTTTACACTTTATTTGTTATGAATATGAATAGTTTAACTAAAACCAGAGACACTTGAGTTTTGTTTATCCAGTAGTCAGGAGTGCTCTTTGCTGATTTTGTATTCGTTGATCCTCCAGGAACATAACCTCAATAAATACTAATGTTATACAGTATAATCTTTACTAGTTCTAACTCTAAGCAAAATCACACCAATTTTCAGCATCCTCTCGTGGAATAATGAGACATTAAACGTTTGGTCGCACCTGTTTGGTTTCGCTGTCTTCCTTGGACTCTTTGTGTATGACACGACCATAGTTTTCTACAAATATAAAGGCACTGAAAATGATGCCATTGTTGCATCATTTGTCCTCCTTTCTTTCATGGTAAGTTAATAGCAAAAATACAAAAGTTTAACAGCTACAGCATTCTATGTTTTGAGTTTCAATCAGAGCTGCCAGATATATGTATGTATAGATGTATGTATATGGGGTAAGTTTATGCCAAGACTGTATTATCATTGTAGAACATTTCAAAATATTGTTTAATGCATTGGAAACCATATATATCCAGTTAGGTAAATCTTATGATATTGAGATCAGCTTAAATAATACGGCTGGTACGTTGAAAGAAGATGTGCAGATAAAGTATGTTTAATGATGCATGATTTTTTTTCAGACATGCATGCTGCTGTCTTCTCTCTACCATACCCTCAACTGCCGTTCTGAGGACTCACTCAAGAAATGGCTCTCTTATGACATTTTTGGAATATCAACATCTTTTCTTGCTATTTTTCTTAGTGGAATTTACTATGGATTCTGGTGCCCAGAGGTAAGCCAGTGTTGCTTGTTTGACAAGTTACGAATAGAGGCAAAGAAAGTACAGTTCATCGGACATGAAGAACTTAAATGCATGGTCCCATCTTTCAGCTTTATAAATTTCTTTTCTCCCCTACCTTGACTGTTGTATTCTGACACTGAAATCATGCTGGTGTGCAGGAAAACATTGTTGGAAAAAGTTCACACACGTAATGATATTCCTGGACTAAGTCATTTTGAATACTTTTCCCTATGTTAACTCTCCCATGAAGGTAGAGTGACCCAAAGAAGAAACACATTCACCGTTGCTTATTCGGTAACTGTCTTGTTAGAAGTGCATCAACATAACAATTCAAAGGATCTTCTGAACTGTAGTATTCCCACAAGACCAGCATGGTCAATCCTTACTTTACAAAGATTTCTGTACACTACGAAATTTAATTATGAAGTGCATGCATAACTTACGTTTTGTCATTCAAGTGTGAACTCGCCAATCCAAAATACCTTATGAACAAAGGTGCAAACAAACAGATGTAGTACATATACCCTTTTGTGGTTTAGAACTTATGCATCATGGTTGATACAGCAAAAAGTTGTACAGATAGTGATAGGACTGCCAAAAAAATTGCTGTAAGAAGCCTGTGATTGAAAATGAAACTAAACTTAGTAATTGTGGGATGCAAATTTGTGATATCTGCCAGAAGTCTGAATTATTTGCATCAACTGTGGCTACTGTCTCTTTAGCATAATATTGTCTCTACTATTTATAGTGTAATCTAATATGTTTCTGATGCTTGTGTGTTTCATTTCAAGCACTAAAATTGGTGTTTTCTATTTTTTTATTGAAGTCATTTGAGAATTTAATCGCAATTATAATGTGCCTATACCTGGAGGGTGTTCCTTGGGTCAACACCCCACAGCTTGGTCCATGACCAGGCCTCTCTGTTTAATAATGATCTGCATTACAAAATTTTTCTTTACAAACTGTAATTGAATGTAATTTCATAAGAGCGAGGACTGCCTGTAATAAGACAGAGCCAAACGGCTGGTGACTCTTCAGACAAGATGCAACAAAACAGTGTTCATAGTATTTTTTTAACACATTTGTTGTGTCTTACAATATATAGTGACCCAAAGAGGGGAACCACTCTCACCATCACTTATTTCCTAGTTGTCATTTCAGAGGAACATGGTAATCACAATTCAAATAAACTACTACCATGCTGTCATGCAAGTGGAAATAAAAGCCTGTTAAACATCTTGCATTCTGGAGCTTCAAGGAGGTTGCCTTGAAGCTGGTGAAAGGCTCTTCATCCAGGGAACTGGAGCTACCTTCTACTTGGATCAACCCTGTTGTTCTCCCCCCCCCCCTCTTCTTCCTTTACCAGTATAGTATTATCAATAATAAGTTGAACTGGCAGGATTGTTGGTTGTTTATCTTATAAATGTGCAAAATGAGAGGCAGATCATGTAATTTTGTAACTTCTACATACATTCAGACTGTGCTGTATAACTCACATGGGTTTAGCACATTATATAAAGTAACTGTACATTTATATGTTAATTTAGGAGTTTAATTTTTTTTGTCTTCATTTCTCCCATTAGTTTTTTTTTGTGTGTGGATTACATACTTATACACAGATTTAATATTTATTTTAGTGTTCAGAAAAATACTTTTATATAGATATTTCATTTTTTCTTACATTTTTCTTTCTTTTATGCATATTTCAAGTGTTTTTTACTTGTACTGCTCATTAATTCTTGTTATATTTCCTTGACTGGGGTTCTCATGTGTGAAAATCAAATAGGTACCATACCAGCTATAATTCTTGAAAAACTTTCATCATTTGATTTCATGTTAGTGAACTCTTCATTTAATGATCTTTATTATGCTTGGATATATAATACAATGTATGATATGTATGGCTTCCCTCTGGCAAGACTGATGGAGTGAGTGATGGTGAAAGTTTTTCTTCCTTTTTGGGTCACCCTGCCTCGGTGGGAGATGGCTAGTTTGTTGGAAAAAAAAATATTGACATTTTTTTTGAGTATGGTATATCCCACCTATGCCATAAATGAAGTCCTGGTTGATTACCTGTGTGGTATATTTAAATTGATAAAGGCAGTATGGTATTCCTCATCAATTTAGATGCCACATTTTCTCTTGAGAAGTCTCATCTTTAATTTATTGTCATTGTGCATAATCTTCTTTACCTTTTAAAGAGACACCTAAGACATACAGTTCATAGGATAATATACATTACATTTTCTGTATGCTTCTTTTTAAGGAATAAATTACAAAAATGCCATTTTAAAGTTGTAAAGTGTTTTTCTTTGTTCCAGTATCTGTTTCATCGTTACTTGTACATGAGTATGGTGTGCATCCTCTTTGCCGGCGCTATGACATTCATCTTGACGCCAAAGTAAGTCATATAAAATATTTATTGTAACTACCAAAAAAAACTTTTTCACTTTAAAAGTGGGTATATAATGTATGTAATTACCCTTACAAATGTACTGACTTGTGAAATCAATAAGGTGGTTAGCAGAGTGCATGCATTGGTGGTGGCGAGTGTTTCGAAAAGTTGTTCCAATATTTCACTGAGCAAAATTGAGGGTACATTTCATGGAGATTTGAATTAATGCTCAATAAATAATGTAGCAAGTTGATTATAAGGAAATACAGTACCTACAAACACTTAAGTTACACTTTGGGACACATTAGAACCAATTAATTTCTTAAGAATGCTGGTTTTCAGTTACAAGCATTCCAACAACATAATGTTTTCAGTAACTCATGAAATCGTAATGACACGATTGCAAACAAGCCATACCACGGGCGGGGATAGAACCCGCGATCAGAGAGTCTCAAAACTCCAGACCGTCGCGTTAGCCACTGGACCAGCTAGCCACAATAAGATTCGTCCAACGAGGTATATTTCTACACCATAGGAAGGTTAGCATAGGCACCACTGTGACCACAAATGCAAGTTTTTACAGACGAATCTCCAGCTAGTGTGGCCGTGATGAACTCTAGCTCAGGTCCCCTCAAAGCCGTTAACATGACTCACGAAATCATAATGACACGATTGCAAACAAACCATACCACGGGCTGGGATAGAACCCGCGATCAGAGTGTCTGAAAACTCCAGACCGTCGCGTTAGCCACCAGTGGCTAACGCGACGGTCTGGAGTTTTGAGACTCTCTGATGTCTCAAATGGTATAAATGGTACAGAAGTGATACTAAAATAATATTAAAGATCGACACAAAGCCACTGCCATTGTAGTATGCTCCTTGCTTAGCGATGAATTCACTTACCAACATGGTCTTAGGAACAGAACTTTATCATTAAATGAGGAGAGGCTGTATAGTTGCAATAATTAAGAAATCTGTGTGTGCTTGGAGACACACATTGTGTATTAAGGATTAAGGATTTTATTTCTTTGCATAGTTTACAATGTGTAATTACAATTTTGATTTGCTAAGTACAAAGAAAGCTGCTGGCATGCCGGGGCATTTCGGGCAGACTAAACCTAATGCTTAACAGACTACTTAATACTAGACATATACGTATATCATAGTTGGTTCAAATTGAACATCATTTTTTATATTTCAACAGAAATTACAGTACGTGTATTATATTTTTGCACATTTTACATAATGATATTGAAACCATTTTAATTTTGAAATAATCTTAAAATATTTAGGAATTTTTGAGTTGTTGATGATAATATATAGTGTTTGTATGGTTAATTTTGGGAGATGAGGTAATTTCTAAGTAGTCTTGAATTGGTGTGCAGGCAGGGGCCCTTTTGTATGCTCAGGTAATGAACTCCAGATCTTGGGACCCTTTATGTTAATACCATTTTTGCATAGAGAGAGATGGACATGAGGGATATCAAAGAGTGTTTTGTGTCATGTGTTATGCAAGTGCATTCTGTTGTAGTTTGAGAGGAGGGTTAATATTGAAGAATAATGTTCTGTGTACGTAGTAGGTACAATAATATTAATGAGTATTTTGTATGTTAAGCAGGTTCAAGCTCTTAAATAGTGGTGGGGTGTATTGCCTGGTGCAGGAGTTTGTAATCACTCGCAGCAGCTTTTTGTTGGCTTATTAAAGGTTTAAGGTGATCTGGTCTGATTGAACCCCATGCACAAATACCATAGGTGAAGTAAAGGTAGATGAGAGAGTGGTAAAGAGCAAAAAGTGCCATTTAGGGTACATAGTACTGTATCTTAGAAAGGATGCCTACTGTTTTGGAGATTTTTTTGGAAATATGCTGTATGTGGGTCTGAAATTTAAGACAGCCGTCAATGTGGAGCCCAAGAAACTTGCCGTCAGTGTGTCTTGAAATGAGGATCTAACTTATGCTAATAAAATAATCTTAACTTAAAGATTTAAAGATTTATTAATTTTTTTGCAATGTTTACAGTGTGTGATTACAATTTTGGTTTAAGTACAAAGAAAGCCACTATCATACCGGGGCATTTCGGGCAGACTAAACCTAATCTATAGACTACTTAATACTAGTGTTTTGAGAAGAGTAAATTTTTATTATACATGGTTTTACTTATTAATAGAGGTAGCTAAATGCTGCTGGATATGTACAGGTCAGCCATAGAAGTAGTTAGGTCTAAGGGAGGGATCCCAGTCATATGTAGCATCTTGCCTAGAAAGGGAGTGGGCAATGAATGGATGTCTAGGGCAATTGGTATAAATTGCTGGCTAGACAGGTACTGCAAGGTACTTGCAATCCCATTCATTGATAACTGGGACCTATTCTTTGGCAAATGTGATATGTATGCAAGGGATGGGGTTCATCTCTCTGGGGATGGAGTGGTTGCATTAGCCAATTCGATTGAGAGGGTAAGTGATGACTTGTCTAGGAATTTAAACTGATAGATTATAGAGGTATGGGTGTTTGTGGGAAACAATCAGGCTGCAGTATTAGGGTTAAAAACAGCAATTATTACCTCAGGGATATGTTTAAAAGACAATATTCAAAATAAAGTTGCTAGTAATGGCAAATCAGTTGATCAACAAACAAAGAGATAGCAGAGGGCAACAAGTGACTGGCTCCCTTAAGGTTTACTATACAAATAGTAGGAGTCTAAGAAATAAGATAGATGAGCTAAGATTACTTGCAAGTGTAGGTAATATAGATATTATTGGTATAACAGAGACCTGGTTCAACCTGAAAGAGAGAAATGCCTTCTGAATGCAACATACAGGGTTATAAACTATTCCACACTGATAGGGTCAACAGGAAGGGTGGTGGAGTGGCAATGTATGTCAGAGAAAATTTAAATTGTTGTCTTAGACAGTTTCTCAAGGGTCGTGACAAATAAATTTTGGGTGTGATTTATAGGCCCCCAAACCTTGATAGGAAGTGCAGTAAGCTGTTATGGGACAAAATTCATAAGGCGTCTAGATATGAAAATGTTGTGATAACAGGAGATTTTAACTTTAGACAAATTGATTGGAACAATGACAGGAAATCTTGAGTCTAGTGACTTTCTTGATACGGTTCAGGGTTGCTTTTCAGAACAGGTTGTGACAGAACCAAATAGAGGAAACAGTCTGCTTGACTTGGTTCTTGCCAACAAATAGTCATTAATTAATAATCTTGAGGTTAATGATGAGCTTTGGGAAAGTGACCACAAATCACTTAGTTTCAATATATCATGGAATTACCCAGATAACTGCAATCAAATCTCTGTCCCAGATTTTCGCTTGGCCGACTTCATGGGACTGAAAAATTACGTGGGTCAGGTAGGTGATCTTGGTTGCCAATATGACGTTTTTCAGAGCATAGTTCTAGCTGCCCAGACAACTTTTGTTCCGAGTAGGGGAATTAGATCTAACAAAAATGATACCAAATGGATGAACAATAGATTAAAACATCACATTGGTCAAAAGAGAGGCATATACGTATAGGAGTATCAAAAGAGGGAACGGGCAGTTAAGAAATCAATATACAGTGGACCCTTGCCTTACAATATTAATCCGTTCCTGAGAGCTCATCGTAAGCCGAAATTATCGTTAGCCGAATTAATTTTCCCCATGAGAAATAATGGAAATAAAATTAATCCTTTCCTGACACCCCAAAGTATGAAAAAAAAAATTTTACCACATGAAATATTAATTTTAATACACGCAAACTGAAGAAGACATGCACAATTACTACTCTGCTAAGAATAGAATACATGACACTTACCTTTATTGAAGATCTGGTGATGATTGATGGGATGGGAGGAGGGGAGTGTGTGGAAGTTATTATTGAGAAGGGGAATCCCCTTCCATTAGGACTTGAGGTAGCAAGTCCTTTTCCGGGGTTACTTCCCTTCTTCTTTTAATGCCACTAGGACCAGCTTGAGAGTCACTGGACCTCTGTCGCACAACAATTCTGTCCATAGAGCTCTGTACCTCCCATTTCTTTTAAGACTTTCCTAAAATGGGCCATAACATTGTCATTGTACAGGTTGCCAACACGGCTTGCAGTAGCTGTGTCAGGGTGATTTTCATCTGTAAAGGTTTGCAGTTCAACCCACTTTGCACACATTTCCTTAATCACTTTTTTTCCAATTCCATACTAATTCTCTCCCTTTTTACCATAGGGATGGCACTAGAAGCCTTCTTGGGGTCCATGGTGACTTATTTTGCAGTTACAAGCACTAAAAACACTGGGATAATGTGAAATGTACCAAATGTATGCATAGATGTGACCGCACTGGCTGGCTTGTAAACACTGGCACTGAGGCCACACGTGGGATGCGTTTTGGACGAATCACATAAGGCGAGTTTTTATCGTGAGGCGAGGCAAAATTTTTGCGTTCCAATGCTTCGTATGGCGGATTTAACGTAACGTGATGCGTTCGTAAGGCGGGGGTCCACTGTATTCAGTTAAAGAGAGAAATAAAGAAAGGAATAAGAAAAGCAAAAAGGGATTATGAGGCTAAGGTCACAAGGGATTCAAAGACTAACCCAGAAGGGTTCTTTCAGTTATACAGAAGTAAGATTAGGGACAAGATTGGCCCACTTAAGAGTAACTCTGGTCAGATCACTGACAGTGATAGGGATATGTGTGAAATTCTCAATACCTACTTCCTCTTAGTTTTCACCCAGGAAAATACTAGCAATATTCCTGAAACCGTAGATTATGTAGAACAGGATGATGATAAACTATGCATGATTGCAGTAACTAGTGACATGGTCCTCAGACAAATAGAGAAACTAAAACTTAACAAATCCCCAGGCCCTGATGAACTGTTTGCAAGGTTGTTAAAGGAATGTAAAGAGGAACTTAGCATACCTTTGGCTAATCTTTTTAACATATCACTACAAACTGGCATAGTGCCTTATAAGTGGAAAATGACAAATGTAATACCTATTTACAAGGCAGGTGACAGGTCCTTGGCTTTGAACTATAGACCAATAAGCCTTACCTCCATAGTGGGAAAATTTATGGAATCAATAATTGGCGAAGCAATTCGTACCCATCTTGATAGGCACAGATTGATTAATGAATCTCAACACGGTTTTACAAAGGGGCGTTCCTGTCTTAAGAATTTACTAACATTTTTCACTAAGGTGTTTGAGGAGGTAGATCATGGTAATGAATATGATATTGTGTATATGGACTTCAGTAAGGCTTTCGATAGAGTTCCACATAAGAGGCCATTGAGGAAACTTAAGGCACAGGGAATAGGAGGAGAAATTTTTCCTGGATAGAGGCATGGCTGACAAATAGGCAGCAGAGCGTTTGCATAAATGGGGAGAAATCAGAATGGAGGCACGTCACAAGCGGTGATCCTCAGGGGTCAGTGTTGGGCCCGTTGTTGTTCACAATTTACATAAACGACATAGATGAGGGAATAAATAGTGACATAAGCAAATTTGCTGATGACACCAAAATAGGCCATCCAGTTCATTCTAATGAGGACACTAGAGCACTCCAGGATGATTTGAATAGACTGATGCAATGGTCGGAGAAGTGGCAGATGCAGTTTAATATAGACAAATGCAAAGTTCTAAATGTTGGACAGGAAAATAACCATGCGACATATAAACTAAATTATGTAGATCTTACTACTACTGATTGTGAAAAGGATTTAGGAGTTCTGGTTAACAGTAATCTAAAACCAAGACAACAGTGCATTAGTGTTCGCAATAAAGCTAACAGAATTCTTGGCTTCATATCTAGAAGTATAAATAATAGAAGTCCTCAGGTTGTTCTTCAACTCTCTATATCCTTGGTTAGGCCTCATATAGACTATGCTGCTCAGTTGTGGTCACCGTATTACAGAATGGATATGAATGCTCTGGAAAACGTACAGAGGAGGATGATCCCATGTATCAGAAATCTTCCTTATGAGGATAGACTGAGGGCCCTGAATCTGCACTCTCTCGAAAGGCGTAAAATTAGGGGGGATATGATCGAGGTGTATAAATGGAAAACAGGAATAAATAAAGGGGATGTAAATAGCGTGGTGGAAAAAAGTACAGCCAAGACAGGACTTGCAGCAATGGTTTCAAGTTGGAAAAATTCAGATTCAGGAAGGATATAGGAAAACACTGGTTTGGTAATAGAGTTGTGGATGAGTGGAACAAACTCCCAAGTACAGTTATTGAGGCTAAAACATTGTGTAGTTTTAAAAATAGGTTAGATAAATACATGAGTGAGTGTGGATGGGTGAGAGTTGAACCTGACTAGCTTTTGCTGCTGGGTTTGGTGCCATGCTCCTTCCTTGAGTGGAGGTGACCAAACTGGGTGGGTCATTGGGCTAATCCCAGGGGTGGGGGGGACATGGACCTGCTCTGCATGGGTCAGTAGGCCTGTTGCAGTGCTCCTTCTTGCTTATGTTTTTTATTTTTATATTAACACACTGGTCGATTCCCACCAAGGCAGGGTGGCCCGAAAAAGAAAAACTTTCACCATCATTCACTCCATCACTGTCTTGCCAGAAGGGTGCTTTACACTCCAGTTTTTAAACTGCAACATTAACACACACACCCCCCCCTTCAGAGTGCAGGCACTGTACTTCCCATCTCCAGGACTCAAGTCCGGCCTGCCGGTTTCCCTGAATCCCTTCATAAATGTTACTTTGCTCACACTCCAACAGCACGTCAAGTATTAAAAACCATTTGTCTCCATTCAGTCCTATCAAACACGCTCACGCATGCCCACTGGAAGTCCAAGCCCCTCGCACACAAAACTCCCTTTACCCCCTCCCTCCAACCTTTCCTAGAGAGTATGGAGGAGGTGAATGTATTCAGATATTTGGGAGTGGACGTGTCAGCGGATGGGTCTATGAAAGATGAGGTGAATCATAGAATTGATGAGGGGAAAAGGGTGAGTGGTGCACTTAGGAGTCTGTGGAGACAAAGAACTTTGTCCTTGGAGGCAAAGAGGGGAATGTATGAGAGTATAGTTTTACCAACGCTCTTATATGGGTGTGAAGCATGGGTGATGAATGTTGCAGCGAGGAGAAGGCTGGAGGCAGTGGAGATGTCATGTCTGAGGGCAATGTGTGATGTGAATATAATGCAGAGAATTCATAGTTTGGAAGTTAGGAGGAGGTGCGGGATTACCAAAACTGTTGTCCAGAGGGCTGAGGAAAGGGGTTTTGTTGAGGTGGTTCGGACATGTAGAGAGAATGGAGCGAAACAGAGTGACTTCAAGAGTGTATCAGTCTGTAGTGGAA